GGGCTGGGGCCGAGGAGCAGCGGGGCGGGGAGGGACCGTGGGCTTGTGGCTCACCCATGAACCTGACGGCCAGCTCTCTCAGGGGCTGCTGTGGGCTCTGCAGGTAGGTCAGAGCCTGGCGCAGGTGCTCGTCCCTTCGGCTCATGTCCTTGTCCATCTGCAGGGAGCAGCAGGGTACAGAGGGAATGGTTGGCTGAGGCTCTGCCCCTTTTCCAGGCACTGCCTGTGCCCAGCACTGGCCTCCCGTGCCCGCAGAGCCCTGAGGCCAGGGCAGCAGCTGCTGGGGCAGGGCTTTGGAGGGAGCAGAGGGCTGGGTGCTCCCGGTGTCCTCCTGGCTCGGGAGCAGCAGAGCCTGGAGAAGAACCCGCATAGCCAAGGGAAGGGAGCAGCGTGTGGGGCGCAGGCTGGTGTCCCACAGGTGGGTGCAGGAGTGGGCAGGGGCACAGGACCAGCCCCACACATTGGGCATCGAGGGCTTGTCCAGCCTTTGGCTGAGCCTTGGGGGTGGTCCTTACCAGGCAATCACAGAACTCCAAGTGCTGTTTTTTCCTAAGCAGCTGCTCCAGATCTCTCCTCTTGAGCAAACTTGCAGCACAAAGGAGAGTTTCCCGAGAGGCCTGCAGAGCAACAGAGACTGGGACATGACACCACAGCCCAGGGCACAGGACCTGCATCCCTGGCCATGGCCAGGATGACCCTGGAGCCCACCAGGCACCTGGACAGGAGGCAGCTGAGCCCCCTGCCACAAGGGACCCCAGAGTCCACAAGAGCTCACCTCTGCCACGCACTGGGTCTCGTCATGGCAGTGGAAGAGGAGTGGCACCAGGCTCTGGTGCACAAGTGTCTCCTTTCCCTCTTCCACTACCAACTCCATCACCTCTCGGAAGAGGCGAATGGAGAGCAGCTGCACATGGCTGTTGTCCTGGTGCAGAAGAAGAGAAAAAGACCTCAGCACTGGCTGCTCCTGGCCAACCAGGCACAGGCTTTAAAATCCACAGGGCACAAAGTTCCCTGGCAGCACCAGAGCCTTACATTATCAAACAGTGGCTGCAGTGCCTCAGCCAGCTTCAGGGCAGCAGAGCCGAATGCCTGAAGGTCTTCATCCTGGAGCATGTTCAGGAAGACAGAGAGGGTCATCTCGACCATCTCTACATCTTCATGACGCAGCAGCTCCAGGAGGTTTTCAGCCAGGCTGCAGATGCTTTCGGCCTGTGTGGAACAAAATGCTGTGCTGTGAAGCCCTGAACAGCTGCCCCACCAACAGCTCTCTGGTGCTGCAACCCCACACTGCTGCCCCAGGGCCCAGAGGACAAAGGTCTGTGCCCCAGGACCCAGGCAGCTGAAGAGGGAGGCAGGAGAGCTGGGAGCAGCTGCCACAGCTCCCGAAGCCCAGCCAAGCCCAAGTGACTGCGTTCCCCAGCCCCAGGCTGCCAATGTGGCTTCATCCGGGTGTGCCCTTCTCACCATCGAGGGATCCACACTGAGAACCAGGAGGCCTCTCAGTGCCAGGCGCTGCCTCTCAGGGCACTGGCTCTGCAAGTTCCTTGATAGGATGGGCAGAACTGTGTCGTGACACTTTCTCCCATCCAGATAGTCCAGGATCTGGAAGGCAGAGAGCAGTGATGGGGTGGCCAGGCATCAGGAACCCAGAGTCCCCCAGGGCTGTGCCCAGGCAGCAGCACAGGCCGCAGGTACCATCCTGGGCAGCTGTGGCTCTGAGAGGCCAAAGAGAGGGAGGCAGGCAGGCGAGGCAGCGCTCGCCATCAGGCTCACCTCTACGAGGAATGCCAGGGCAGGGAGCTCCCAGTGGGGTTCCTCCCTGCTGAGCAGCCCGAGAAGGTGAATTGCCATCTCGCAATGGAAGGGGACAAGGACATGTCGCATCTCCCTGTCAGGAGGAGAAAAGGAACCATCGAGCTTGTGCCAGGTGGGCAAAGCTCTCCAAGAACTGACTCACAAAGGCCTGGACTTCCCCCAGTGGCCCTTGACAGAACAGGGGTGCTTTGGGAGGTGGCTCCTCCTGTGCACCCAGCTCTCACAGCCATTTCCAATCTGCTCAGCCATGTGGCCCACACCCACAAGGGTTGTGTGGGGTTCCCCATGCCCAGGGGAGAGGCAACAGGCACAGTGGGGAGAAGGGTGTCTCACCTGGCCAGCAGCCCCACTGCATAATGGTGGGTGTCTGAACAAAGAAGTGTCTCCCAGCCACGCTTTCGTTCAATGGCCACCACCTCATTCTCCCAGTGCAGGCGGCAGAGCAGAGCCTTCAGGGTCTGTACTGCAAACCTGTGTGCAGAGCAAAGGCCAGGTCATGCTGGGAGCCCTGGCCCCAGTCCTGAGGGCATGGGAGGGAGAGAGGACAGGGATGGAGCACCTGCTGGGGTTGTTGGGAAGGCCGTGTTCCTCCTGGCACTGCCTCCAGAAAGCATTGACCTCCTCTGACATCTGCTCTGTGCTCATGGAAATTTGGAAGAGCAGAGACAAGAGGAGGTGTGGGGCATGACTGATCATGGCCTCTTCGCATTCGGGCTCCTGGATGATGTGCCACAGTGCCAGGGTTGCCTGCAATAAAACCACATAGAGACAGCGCTCAGTGTGAGATGTTCATGTGGCAGGGCCTGAGCGTGGAAGGGAGAGGCCAGGGGACTCCCCAGGGGGGG